ACAGTGACTCCCCTCCCGAAGCCTGAAGCCTCCAGCCTCCCACTACGCAGGTCGCAACCTCCCCTCTGCCAGCGGCACTTGGGCCCGCCTTGGAATCATCTCCTTCCTCCTCGCTGATGAACCATTTTACTCTTACAAGACCTCCTTGGTCCTGTCCATCTGAGGGTCCCTCTGGCATGTTCCCAGCCACACTCTTACGCTTGCTGTCCATGGACGAGAAGACCAGTGGCACACAGGGACATGCTGCACAAGGGAGCTACCAATTGCCCCATTTGCCCAAAATTCTTTAAGTTAAATACGTATTATGTACACATGAGAGAGAAAACTTATATGAGTAAGAGTACTGGAGACAAACATCTACGGATCCCATCACCTAGCTTAAGAACAGTCAGCTGCTTTTCTGCATTCTGGGTGCAGGCAGCTGTCAAACTCCAGGGAGGGATTTTACACCTGTCCAGCCCTCTCTGGGTGCCTGTTCTTGCCTCCTGGGGTCAACAGGCCCCCATCACCTCTCCTGCCCTCTCTGCCCTGGCCTCCGGGGCTATTTTGAGTGTGTACCAGTCGGGGTTAATCTCCTTAAGCAGTGAGCCATGCTGCCTGGTGCGCTTCTGACCGGCTGAGCCCTCTGTCTGTAAAGGGCATTCTGAGCTCTGGCTCAGGCCTTCTCAGCCTTGGGGGCCCTCACCCCTGCTGGGACACTAGGGTTCTTGGGCTGTGAATTGGAACCCCGGACTGGTAGGGGAGGCAGCTGCAGAGGCTCAGGCTCATGGTGGGGTGCTGCAGATATGCTTCTCAGATTCACTCCTCCCCCAAGCTTAGCTGCCCCTGGGCCCGGCTGCCTGCAGGTGCTAAGCCTTAGCCCACTGCCCCAGGGAGAAGGAAGAGGGCAGCAGCGGGAGAGGATTTTTCCCAATTGGAAAGGGAAGAGAACACCCGGGTTGGGATCTGGTTCCTGAAACTTGAGCTTAGACAGGCCCTTTAAAGGGAGGGCAGGGCAGTACTGCCAAGCCCCACCTCCTACCAAACCCTAACCCCCTGAGCTTCAAGCAACAAACGTGTGTGTGTGTGTGTGTGTGTGTGTGTGTGTGTGTGTGTGTTTTGAGTGCCGGGACTTTTTTTTTAAGCATTTGTCTTCGGTACCACACAGGCTGGTAAGAGATACGGCCAGGAAAGCAGATGATTACAAAGGGGAAAAGCCGGGGGCGGAGGGGGGTTGCTCGGTGATAAAGTACCTGCTTAATTTGCTGAAGGCTCTGGGTTCCATCACCAGCACCAAAAAAAAAAGGGATATCTTGAGGGTTGCCAAGCTGCTGTTGGAGTGCTCAGACAGGTGCCTGCGTTGGAAAGGCCTTCCGGAGGTGGCGGTGCCTAGGAGCAGCGGGACAGAAATGGCCTGGAAGAGGCCATGGGGCAATATCCACAGGCGGTGGTAATCGATCTGGAAGACCCCTGAAGCGTCCATTCCCCGGAGAGCAAAACAGCCCTGGGCCCTCCCACACTCTAGACCCACTTCCTGACGCCATGGTATGAATCCTCATGGCCAGAAAAGCAGGGCTGATGACCCCTACGGGCCCACTTCCCACTCTTGGTTTTTATTTTTAATTTGTTTTTGTTTTTGTTTTTTTGAGATAGGGTCTCGCTGTGTAATTAAGGGTGGTCGGAAACTCACTATGTAGCCCAGGCAGCAATCCTCCTATCTCAGCCTCCTGAGTGCTAGAATTACAGGTATATGCACAGCTTAAATTGTTTTATGCCAGAAAATTTCAAACATATATACAAAGGTGGAGAAAACAGTTAATGAACACCCTCGTAGAGCCATCACCCAGCGTCAGCAATCATCAACCCATGGTTCTGTCCCCTCTACTCCAACCTCAACCATTTTAAATAAACTTCCTCATCAATTTTTCCACAAATATTTCAAAAGCTGTGTCTAAGAGATAAGCATCCACATGAAAGTATAACTGAATACCGTTTGTATATCTAAAGGTAACTGACAAAAAGCCTTGGTACCGTTTGCTATCTTTCCCTAACCCACGCAGTTTAGCCGTCCCAGTCCTCATGGGGTGGGAGATCAGTCCTCTGCAGATTGTGCCACAACTGCCACTCCTGGAACCACGGGCCTGTGCACCTGGTGACACGTCTCTGGTGGCTCTGTATCACCTGCATGGAGACCCTCCCTGGGTTAGAAGTTCTGCAGAGCAAGGACTGGCATTAGTGCCCTTTTGGCCCCCTAGTAGGGCAGAGGGGAGAAAAAGCATAGATCCTAAAGTCAGGCAGGCCCCTTATTAGCTGTGTTATTCAATGACAGTTATTCGACCTCGCTGAGATTTATTCTCCTGCTCTGTATAATAGGGATGAAAATACCTACGTCCCAAGACTTGTGAGGCTTGAAATAAAAGACAAGGTGGAGGTACGAGGCATATAGAAGGTTCTCGGGAGACGCTCACCTTGCTGCTCCTGCGCGGGCCCAGGGACGGGTCACAGACTGGGTTTGACTACTTCGTGGAGGGCAGGCCGAGGCCAGAGTGTGCAATGGGAGCTGCTGCCACTGCTCCATGGCGTGCTGAGCACCCAGGATTCACCCACTTGCTGTGGCCACTAACTCACGGGCAGCAGTGGCCTCACAGCCCTCGGGGACCAAGGGAAGGGGCAGGCTGGGAAGGACAGAGATTTGCTTTGCTTCGTGTCACCCATTTCTGGGTTCCTTGACCCAAATGAATTCATGATTCCATGGCTCCTGTCTGTGCAGTGCCTGTCATACGCCAGGCTCCATGCTAAGGGCCAAGAGCTTTCCGCATGGAGCGCGTTTAGTTTTCAGCACGAGCCCATGAGGTGAGGACTACTGCCCCTGAGACTTGGATACACGGATAGTACTGTGTATCCGCCGGTACTCACACCAGGTCCTCCCGATAATTAAATTCAAGTCCTTGTCCCACCACCCACTATTTTGTTAATGGTCAAAAGTGGCCACTTTTGGGGGTTCATTCCCATTTCCCAAGATTTACAGAGATGACTTCCACCCACTGCTCAGGATAGACCCTGAACTCCGGGCAGCCCCTGTGCCAGCACAGGCCCGAGGACTGCCGGAGGAGGAGTGGATCCGAGCGCTGTCTCCATGAGGGAAAACTGTCCTCAGTGTGGCTCCTTACTCAGAGGGTGCATGTTCCCCACACACCCACACTGCACCCTCACTCCCTGACTTGGGCTCTGTCTACAGAACCAACGTGGGCATGCAGAGAGGCAGGCAGGAGAGGAGAGGCAGGCACGGTCTTGACAGGCTGAGCAGAAAAGCTGGAGAATGAAAGTTTTAGGAGCCCAAGAGCTGCCTGCCCTCTCTACTCTGTGACCAAGTGCTTGGCGGAGGCTAGGGGTGTAGCTCAGTGGTAGAGCACTGGTCTAGCATGCACAAGGCCGTGGACTTGATCCCAGCACCTTGAAAAAAAAGTGCTGTTCGACTTCAGCCTCCAGAAGCACTGGACACAAGGCAGCCATGAGCCCAGAACATGTATGGTCAGGGTAGGAGGGTCACAGGGGGGCCAAGGCATTTGGTTACATTTCATTTTTTTCTATGTTTCGCAATAGCTAGCGTGAGGTGCCAGACCCTCACAGTAGGGCCCCTCATTTTTTCCCCATAAAAGTTTTGGTGTTTATTCATCATTATCGGAGCTGCACCAGGGGCAAGTGCCTTGCCCTTAGGATAGTAATTCCCAAGGCCCTGGCTTCCCACATTCTCCCTACTTCTTGGCAAAGCCTTAAACAAAGGTGGAGACAGGTTGCATGGACCCTCCTCTCCCTCCTTCTCGTCTCCTCCCTACTTTCAAGGATTTAAGAACTTGGAGCCCTGTCCACCAGCATGCTCTGAGCAGTGGTTATGTCCCTACACAGACTTTCCACAGAAGCTTCAGGTGATTACATTCCTGCCTTCTGTCCTCTGTGGGAATGAACATGTCATCTGAAGTTCAGTGCCTCGGTTTCCACAGAAGTGAAGCAAAGGATCGGAACTGAGCCTATAAACTTTTCTTGTAAGAATTCACACATAACGGCTACTGTACAAGAGACATGGCTGAGAATGAGAACAAAGGCATAAAATAGTTTCCCCACTGGACCCTCTCCCATGGACAGTGGAACCCCACAAAGTCACACTCAGAGTCTGTCCTAGTTCGTACAGAGGAAGCGCAAACATGCGAGCGATTGTGAGGAAACTGCACACCCAAGAAAACAGAAAGAGACTGGGCTGCAGCTCGTCCTCGGTGTGGGCCAGTGCATCCGACATCCCTGCTTTCCCCTCTCTGTTGTCTCCTTCTGGGATCTCTCCATCCCTAGCAAAGTGGCCTTGCGAGCTTGTAAAGGACTCAACGCCAAGAGCATCCACTAGCGAGTGGGAACGGATGAAAGGAGGAGAAGAAGGAAAGACAGACTTCGCTTTCCCTGGGAACAAAATGGAAGCTATCAGGTGAAGACATGTTCCAGCCTGCAGACGTCTGCCTACACCCCCGCCATCCCATCGCTTTGGGAAGCCCACCTCCCCCTACCCAAGCCCCTTCAAGTGCTCCATGCGCTATGAGACGCCCCTGAGGTCAGGGGGAAGTGAATCCTTCTGCCATAAGGCGGGTTTAGCCCTCTATTTATGGGTGACTGGCAGGAGACTGCCAGCGTCATTCTCTCCTTTTGCCCCTCCCCACTACAGGATGGGATGAATTTAATGGAAAAAACAGAAGGCGGGGATCAGGATGGAGTTCACTTGACCAGGAATGCTTCAGGGACACTGCCCAGCTTCCCCTCCACTAGAAGCCCTATTTGAGTCTGTGGGATGCTGTACTTCCATGTACCATGCAGCTTTGGCTTACAGAGCAGAAATGAGGAGCAAGAGGTACACACCGCTGGTTTAGTGGATTAAAACCAGTCCTGTAGCACTTGGCCTTTTGCCAGTGAGAACTGTGCTCCTAAGGCAAGCAGCACCCTAGCCATGGAGTCAGCTCCCCCCCAGGTGTGTCACTCACATCCATGGACATCTCCCTCTGGATCAGCTTCTTGGTCTCCTTTTCGCAGAAGTTGAGCATGGCTTCCCGGTTGTACAGGCCCGTGGACTGTTTGTCCGTCTGGTTCCTCTGGCGCAGTCCCACAGGGATGCTCCCGTCTGGGTCCACCACATCCAGCTCCTTCTCCAGCTCTTCCATCTCCTCAGGAGACAGGGTGGACAGCAGACTGTCAATGTCAGGGTCCTCACTCACCTGCCGGCGGTACTTGGCTACCTTGGACATCTTGGCAAGATGAGCTGCGGCTTTTGTGGGACAGTGGGACAGGACAGGAGCTGAGCAGAAGTGCAGAGTGGCTTGCAAGGGAACCCCCAGTGGGTCAAGGACTACGGCTCCCTGGCCCTGCCCTGCGCTGCCACAGGTGCTCAGTGGTCGCGGCAGCCGTGCTGCAGCCCAAGGCTGGTGAGCCTTGCCGGGTAGAAGCAGTGACCAATAAGCCCGGACAGCTGCCGGCCCGGAAAGGAGAAGCCAATCCCCACGCTGGGGGCGGGCCTGCCTCACTGTCAGAGCTGTTTGAAACTTGAGGACATTCCAGGGAATCTTGGAGCGCTGCGTGACCAAATTTAGTACAGAACAGTTTAGCCTTTTAAAGACAAGGGGGCCACGCAATGAGAAAAAGATACAAAAATGCAGGGGCTGGCAGAAGCCTACCATGGCCTCGGAGAGCCAGGAAAGCAGGACCAGGGCCATGGGGACTGTGAACTAGCCAGCCCAAGGCATGCCTGTTCAAGCACAGTTTACTTTTCTGTCACCGGGTGTATGTCACTGTGGCCAGTGCATTGCTCATTGACTTCTTTCTACTGTATTTGGTAATGTGCCGGGGGACGCCTAGGCTTCCAGCCCCAGGAAGACACTCAGTGCAAGATGAGGGGCTGTTCTTCCTGATCTCCGGCCTACCTATTCTCTTCTGCCAAGGGCAATCTGAATACTAGCATTAGCATCAGAGGCTCCAGAGAGAGAGAGAGAGAGAGAGAGAGAGAGGGAGAGAGAGAGGGAGGGAGGCTGTGCATCCAAGCTGAAACCTGCAAGCTGTCTGAGGAAGAGTGTAGGATCTGCAGGAGGCAGGAAAGTCTTAAAGGCTGTAAATTTTGGAAGGCCCCAAAGCTCTTGGGAAGAGGAGTCCAAACCTCCCTCGGTTCTCATCTGCTCCCTCCTCCGCTGGGCATCTGCAAGCCAGGCCTCCCCTGGGAGCACTGGGAAGGAGCAGAGGGGTCACTCTTCACGCCAAAGTCCAGAGCACCATGTAGCCTGTCTATGGGGAAACACAGTCCTGGGCCTTTGGGACATATACTATTGCAACAGGTCTGGCATGTTTCAGAGAAGGGCTTTTCACTGCTCATCCATCATGCTGCCCTGCACAAGTCACAGTGACATTCAATCTCCTGTCCCCCTCCCTCTTTGCCATAAAATCCCTTCCAGAAGCCCTGGTGTAACCCATCAGGGTAGATGCTTCGATCTTTCCTGGCATCTTTCCATCCTAAGCCAGAGAGAGACAGTCACTTGATCAGCATCTGCCGGGTCCGGGGATCATCTGGGACTAAAACTTGGCCATGGTATTTAATGCACACAAGTACAGCTTTACGTTGAGGCTGAGGTGGGGCATGGTTTTGACTAGTGGGACTGGAGGATGGAAGTGAGGTAGGAAGACCAGAGTGGGAGGATGGGAGCAGGGGTTAGAGAACCCTAGGAGTTCTATTTTTGTTTGTTTGTTTGTTTTTTGAGACAGGGTCTCACTAAGTAGTTGAGGCTGTCCTCAAACTCATAGCAATCCTCCTGCCTCAGCCTTCTAGTGCTGCGATTATGGATATGTGCCACCACACATGGCATTCTAGTTTTTTTGTTTTTTTTTGTTTGTTTGTTTCTGTTTTTTGAGGCAAGGTCTCACTATGTAGCCCAGGCCGGCCTCGAACTCACAGTGACCCTCCTACCTCAACCTCCCAAGTGCTGGGCTCTCAACAGTCCCCAACATATCATAGGTACTCAATAAATATATGCTTACTGATTGACCAACACATGATGACTGATTCCTGAAAATGAACTAGGACCCAGGTCTGGTGGCGTATACCTATAACCCCAGCAGTTGGGTGGCTGAAGCAGGAGGGCCACCATGCCTGGCTCCTAGTTCATTCTTAAGAGTCAGCCGTCATATGTTGGTCAGTCAGTAAGCATGTATTTACTGAGTACCTATGATTTGTCAGGGACTGTTGAGAGCTAGAGATGTAACTAAAGATATAAATCCGTGTGGTCCCTGCCATTTTGGAGGTTATTAAACTAATCACTTCAAGCAACCCATTAAATAATTAAAAGTCCCCAAAAGTCCTCAAACGAGAAGTACAAGGGCTCTAAGAGAATACAACAGGGCCGGGGGTATAGCTCAGCAGCATAAGTGCTTGCCTGGCAAGCTTGAGGTCATGAGTTCGATTTCTGGTACCAAAAAAAAAAGAGAGAGCGAAAACACAACAGAGGAGACTGATCGCAGCGTGGTCACCCAGGTGAGGGCTGTGCTCTGGAGGCCAGCAGACCTGTACTGGGTCACAGTACTGCTGCTTACTGTGCACATGACTTTGGGGAAGTCACCTTCTCCTCTACACTTGGCTTCCCCATCTGTAAAATGAGAATGACACCTGTTCCCACCTTGTAGATTGTTGTGAGCTTTAAATTGTCACGTGCGTGAAAACACTGACCTGATATAAGGCAGACATGTGCACACTGACTGATACACTTATTAGCAGTTCATGTAATTATTTTTTTTGTTTGTTTGTTTTGTTTTGTTTTTCTCCGGTACCGGGAACCGAACTCACGACCTTGCGCATGCCAGGCAGGCGCTTTTGCCGCTGAGCTAAATCCCCAGCCCCTCCTGTAATTATTTGTGCTTTCAGCCTGGGTGGTTTTCTTTCCAGCCCACTTTTCCTGTCCTCTTTTTCTCTCTCTCTTTCAATATACACATGTGCACATGCACGCGCGCCACTCATTCAAGCATTTACTCAGATACTACTATGTACATATAGTACACTGCCAGGTAACATGGGGAGAGGGATACAAAAATAATTACAACACTGTTCTTCTCTTTAGACTGTATTATTAGCCGGACGTGGTGGTGCATGCCTGTAATTCCAGCACTTGGGAGGCTGAGGCAGGAGTGTTGCAAGTTTGAGACCAGCCTGGGCTACAAAGTGACCTCAAGGCCAGCCTGAACTGCATAGCGAGACCCTGTCTCAAAAAGACAAAAAACAAAAACAAAAACAAAGAAACTATATTATTTATTGAGGCAAACGTGGGTCTACTGTAAGGCAAAGGAAAGCAAGCAAAACAGGTATAAAAGATCACTGAGAACTATTTTGTAGACAATAATATGTAAAATGATAACCATTGATAATTTCCTACCATTTTGTCTGTAATTTGCTAAGTCCCCCCTATTATTATGTTATCCTTCTTTTATTCTTTAAAATTTAAAAAAAAAAAAAAGATCACTGAGAGCCTAGTAGAAACCACATTGTTTGTTTGTTTGTTTTTGAGACAGGGTCTCACTTTGTAGTACAGGCTTACTTTGAATTTGCTTATGGATAACCCAGACTGGCCTTGAACTCACAGTGATCCTCGTGCCTCAGTCTCCTGAGTCCTGGGATTGCAGGCAGTGTGCCACCCTGCCTGGCGGAATCAGGGATTCTGGCTTGGCCTATTCCTAGAGAAAAGCTAACATCACTGGGGCTAGAGAAATGGGGAGAGAATGAAAGGGAAAGAGGCTCCAAGCCCCAATCAAGATGCTTAGTGGGATGGGGAAAGGGCAATAAAGGCCCATAACCACTTTAACTACTGTCTAGTGGCTCTCCATAAGACCACATGACCCCAGGCAAGTCACATTTTCAAGAATATAGGGTGGCAGTATAGGGTAGCAGGTAAGACTACAGGCTTTGGAGTCAAATGATACGGGCTCAAATCTGAGACCTGTGACCTTGGGTAAGTTATTTAACCTCTCTAAGCTATAGGAAATGGAATATGAGGACATTAAAAAAGTATTTACCTAAGGGCTAGAGATGTAGCTCAGTGGTATGGCACTTGCCTAGCGTGCACAAGACCCTGAGTTTAAGTCCCAGTACTACAAAAAAAGTATTAAACTAAAGAAAAAAGAGTACCTACTCAGAGTTATGGTGTAATGAAGTATGTTAAATAAGATAATGCAGGCAATGTGTAACAGCTCAGAATTACAACAAGCATTATTGTGCAAAATGTGACTTCTGCATGCATGTGTACATGCGTGTACACACACACACACACACACACACACACACACACACAGGTGCAGAATGGCTAAAGCGAGGGCCAGGTTGTGTGAGACCACAAAAGAGAGAAGTCGTCACACTGACTCCCTGTGAGGCGCTGGGAGGTGTCTCTAGAAGAGTGTCTCCAGGCTCTGTCCCGGAAACCAGCCCTGGCCTGGCCCTGCCCTCCTCAGCCGAGCAGATGCAGGCAGAGGAGGGTCTGGCACAGACACAGGCCAGACTGACGTCTTCCTGAAAGGAGAGCCAGCACAGGAGAAGTGGTAAGAGATTACCTTTACCAGCCTCCTCTGGGCCAGGCCAGGACACCTCTGCCTACCAAACCGTGCCCATCTCAGGCGAGCCCCAAGCCCACGAGCTGGCTGAGTCCCAGCCTCACTTATCTGGGTTTCTCGGTGAGTCCCAGCCTCACAATCTGAGTTTCTCGGTGACTCGGACCAGGCAGGACTGGGGGATGTGGAGCCACATCCATGGACTGTCCTCCTGCTAGTCAGGGACGTGTCAGGTGCCAGGAGCCTCTAAGTTCACACCTACTGAATGGCTGGACGGTGCAGATTCTGAAAATGTTCATTCCCATCAGTACCTGGACCACAAGTGGTTCCAGCAATAGTCCCAGTTTGGGCTTAGAACACAAGCTTTCAACAAATGCTCTAGAGTAGTGAAGCACAGTTCTACCGCCCCTCACTCCATGGCCTCAAGGACTTTCACTGCTTTCTTTTATCATTCCTCTGTGTCACTGAACATTCCTTCAGTGAAGGCCACCAAAATCTCTTAGGCTTAAGACTCACTACAGGGCCAGGTGTGGTAGTGCATTCTGTAATTCTAGCATTGGGGAGGCTGAGGCAGGAAGGCTGACAGTTTGAGGCAAGCCTGGGCTACATAGCAAAATGTGGTCTCAAACAACAAAAACAAAAACAAAAAAACAACAAAGAAAACCTCACCAGATGAGAGTGTATCTCTTCTTCCAAAGGTTTCTTTTTTTGTTTGTTTGTTTTTCTCTGGTACCGGGAACCGAACTCACAACCTTGCGCTTACTGGGCAAGCGCTTTGCCGCTGAGCTAAATCCCCAACCCCCAAAAGGTTTCTTCACTCAGCACCCTGGAAATGGATTTGTGTATGTGTGTGTGTGCTCATGCTAAAATGCTCACTTAGACACATCCTTACATAATATATTTTGGATTAATTTACTTTCTATCTATATTTGTTTAAATATCAGCATTTATTGACCATGATAGGCTCTACACATTAGAAAACTAATGTGGGGGGGTGGGGATTGAATGCAGGGTCCTGCACATGCTAGACAAAACATCCTACCACTGAGCTACAGCCTAGCCCTTTAAAAACTTTTGTCTTGATATAGAGTCTCACTAAGTTGTGGGTTTTTTGCGGGGGGAGGTTGTGTTTTTAGACAAGGCTTTGCTATGTAGTTCAGGCTGGCCTTGAACTCACAGCAATCCTCATGCCTCAGCCTACCAAGTGCTGGGATTATAGGTGTGTGCCACCATGCCCAGCTAAATTGTCTTGACTGGCCTTAAACTTTCCTTCCCATCTCAGCCTCCTGAGTAGCTCCTGATCACCATGTGCAGCAGAAATGGTTATTTCTGAGGGACAAGTGACACATTCCTCTAACAAATGTTAAATCCTAGGCTTTCCCAGTCAAAAGGTGCTGTTAAAAGACAGCAGGAAGTGGGAAGTCTGAGAATGCTTGCCGGCCACTTGAGCACGGTCTCCCAGCACAGTGCACTCCTTTAGGGTAAGGAATGTTAGGATGAAGTCGGCTGGGTAACTGGCACGCACCACATGGAGGGTTTGGACGTCAGCCTTGTGAACAGAAACTCACTAGGACGGCTAATTTTATGTCAACTGGAGTGGGCCACAGGGTGCCCAGATTAAACACTGTTTCTATCTGTGAGAGTGTTTCTAGATTCAAATAACATTTGAACAGGCGGACTCAGTAGATGTCCCTCCTGATGTAACTGGGCAGGGCCCAATCCATTGAGAGCCAGTGCAGAACAAAATGTGCACAAGACCGAATTCTCCCCACTTTCTCTGCCCCCCTGCTGGCCTGGAACACTTCACCTCCCCTTTGCTTGCCTTCAGAATAGGATTTACATCATTGGCTTCCCAAGTTCTTGGGCCTTTGACCTTGGATGAAATTACATAAGCAGTTTTCCTAGGTCTCCAGCATGCAGATGCAGATCATGGGACTCCACAACCTCCATAATTAAGATGAGTCAATTCCTCGTTATCTCTCTCTACTATTTACTCATTCTCCGGAGAACTCTATTTCTGGTGATTGAGTCAAAGGAACTAAGCTCACAAGAGGCAGATGCATACACCAATTTTTTTTTGGCTTTTTTGAGACAGGGTTTTACTATATAATTCAGGTTGGCCTTGAACTCACAGCAATCCTCCTGTCTCAGCCTCCCAAGTTCTGGGATTACGGGTGTGCATCACTACACCTGGTACATAAATAAATATTAACTGCCAAGTAGACAAGAATAGTTCTGAGGGCTGGGGATTTAGCTCAGCGGCAAAGCACCTGCCTGGCAAGCGCAAGGTCGTGAGTTCGGTTCCCGGTACCAGAGAAAAAACAAACAAACAAACAAACAAAAAGAATAGTTCTGAGCACAGGCCTAGGCATTCACTCCTATATAGTAATCTATTCAGAAGCCAAATAATAATCAGAAGATTACTTAATAAACATGGAATAAGAGCTTTGACTAACAATGGAAATATGGAATAATAATTGGCATAATAGATATAGAATAAGATTGCATAATAAATATGGATAACAGCTTGAGCTTTTGAGGTCAAGGGAGAGCAAAGAGCTCTGACAAAAAGCTCTGTCAACTGAATGCTACTTAATTTGTCTTCAACTGTATGAAACTCAGGAACTACACAGAGATCCTTCAAGAAGCACAGGGAGGTATCTAGAGCTAAGGGATATCTCATGGTCCCTGATGAGACATGAAAAAGAATCCTTGCCCCATGAGAGTTGAAATCTCTAGTTATTGAAATATTTATGCCATCAGGTCTGCAGTGCTTAATGAACATCAAATTCTTGCTGAATTTCTCCTTCTGGGCTCCATGTTGCCCCTCCCCTGCATCCCCTCTTCAGCCTGTACACTAACTAAAGTGTTCTTAATCACAGTCACACAGACCAAACAGGATTTCTCGAATTTACATATTCAAATGAAATGAGTCATTTGAACTGTTGTTCTTACACACAAGACACTTTCACTGATGATCTTTTGTGCTCTGGAAGGCTCAATTCACCTGCTTACCTTATTTTGAAGTGTTTAGAGGGACTCTCACCTTCACTGCAGTCTCCTACTATTTATTACATTGACTTTTCCGTAAGACTTTTCCACATATTTTAAAAACAAAAGTGCATAATGAAGAGCCAGGTGTGGTGGCACACCCCTGTGATCCCAAAACTCTGAGACTGCGGCAGGAGGATTGTGGTGAGTTCTAGGCCAGTCTGGGCTACATAGTGAGACCCTGTTTCAAAAAACAAAACAAAAAAGTTCAAGAGAGGAGAGGAGTTCTCTTCACAGTCATCACATGATTGAGTTTTCCTAGCTCTGAAAAGGGGCAGATGGGTCCCCATCCCTTTTAGTCCCTTTTCTCTGGACAGTACATCCCTCACACCATCTGGTGATCTGGGGGGGGGGGCAGGGGGCGGCGCAGAAGAGGCTGTGGAGTCAATGTCCCTTAAAGCGAGGGCCTTAGATTGGTCAAAGTCCTCCAGATGCTACAAGTAGCTCAACATTTTTGAGCATTTACTACATTTCCAGGCTGTGATCATAAGAGTCGGAGACCTCAGGGCTTTAGGCGGTTGCTAGGAGATTCACAGTTCATGACAAATTGGGTAGCATTAATTCACAGTAGATCGCAAACATACTTTTAAAAAGTGAAAGAAACGCACAGAATTTAAGAAGTTTGTTGAGCCCCCGCGAAATAACATCAGGTTTATCTCTGGCCTGGAACCTCGGGGGACTGAGAAAGGCTAGCCCTGTCACTTGGTAGCTCCCCGCCCACACAGCCCAGCTCCCAGCCTTTGAGGACACTGGCGAGGCCAGTCCCGTCACACTCTAACCACGCCCCTCGACTCCTGGCTCCCATTGGCTGCAGGGAAAGCGGCTAACCAATCCCCACAGACCTTAATGACCTCTCCTGGGGATCACTTCCGCCACTGAAGTCAGTTTCCGCCCGGCTCACCCGGCATCGCTCACGCGGCTGGGAGTCAAGATGGAGGAGTACGCTCGAGAACCTTGGTGAGCTTTATCCGCTGTTCTTGCCTTTCTTTTAACCCTCTGCCCGGCTCTCATTCCCCCTGGTTCAGGCTCCCGAGATGTGAGCCGAACTCAGCCGCAGGCTTGTCGACGTGGGCTTGGTAACCTCGGGCAGTGGGGACGTGAGGGGTCAGTTTATAGCCCTGTACTGCCGCAGCTCAGCACCCTGTGACCTTGCAGTGGACGAAGAGGAGGTCCAGGCTTGGGCTGGATGGAGTCCGGGGACCTCCTCCCGACTTAGGGCGCTGTCGACCTTGTGCGGGGTCGGTAGTAGTCCCCCCTGCCCGCCGAGGTGACCTTGGACGCGTCCCTGCCCCCCGCTGCTCGGTTCCCAGCGCTGAGGAAGGAGCACAGGCCTCTGTGCGCGTACTGCTCTTGAGCTTTGCGTCGCGATGCAAGTCCGCAGGATGAAGTGTTTCATCATTTCATCGTTTCATCATGAATCATTTCATCAAATGATTGGAACATGGATTTCACCCAAGGAGTCGATTTCCTACTTGGAATTATCCCTTGGGGAAGGAGGGAGGCAAATAATATCTTGAAAACATAAAGAGATAGTTGGATGTGTTCACCGAAATGCTACGAACAGAAATTCATTCCTTCAGCATTTATCCAGTGAGGGCTCTGTGTTAGCACAAGTTGAAGGAATAAAAAAATGAAAAAACCGGGCACATCCACACGCATACAACGGTATAAACAGCTCTTAAAAGTTCTGAGTTTCTGGGATCATAAATGAAAAATCAAATCTTGGTTTTTAGATTACTGTTCCTTTGTGTAAGAGCAAGAATCAAGGTATCTTCAGTTGTGTGAGTGACCTGAACTTGTAAATTATTGCCTTGTAGCAATAGCCATGTTGCTTATTTTGTGCCCTCTTCCCCTAAAATGTGTATGTATGCCCTCTTCCCCCCCCCAAATGCTTCAGCACCTCCGGGCACTTCAAACTCCCATTGTTAAAAGAGTTATTCGGGGCTGGGGATTTAGCTCAGCGGCAAAAGCGCCTGCCTGGCAAGCGCAAGGTCGTGAGTTCGGTTCCCGGTACCGGAGAAAAACCAAAAAAAAAAAGAGTTATTCCCTTCCAGTGTGTTGTGGTTGAATATGCAGGGTTCAGCACACCGTAAATTGCTGTTAGATGTATGATAATGATACACATTAACAGGGAAATAAAATAATTTGGTTAAGTTAAAGATCTTCTAAAATAATGGATTTTCACTAGATAGCACCATTTCTACCCTATTCTAGAAAACAAACCATAGATTTAGTAAGCCCCTAATCCCATCTTTTTTGTTGTTGTTGTTAATCCCTTCGTAGAAGCTTCCTTGTTTGCCCTGTCCTGCACCATTGTAACCAGAAAACTTTGTTATTGTCCTGTTTGCAAGTTCCACACTGCAAACAATTCATCTCTTTTTGCCTTCTCTCTTTACTTCCTATTAATGTTTCCACTGTTTTAAAGACATTTCCACTATCCTTTATAGTCCATCAAAGCACTGCTTCTTTTAAAGTGTAATCAGGTTACCTGTGGAGCCATGCATGGAAGTGCATCCCTGTTATCCCAGGACTCAAGAGGCTGAGACAGGAAGAGTGAGTTTGAGGCTAGCCTGGGCAACGCAAATAAATAAGAAAAAAGAAGGAAAGGAAGAAAAAAGTCCTGTGAATTGTGTTAAATTGTAGACTCTGGGGTTGAGCGTTCCGCTCAATGGTACAGCACTTGCTTGGCATGTTTGAGGAGGCCCCTGGACAAGGCCTAAGATTCTTCAAGCTCAAACAAACTTGCTTCCAGATGGTGATTTAGGACCATACTTATGGGCAGCAAGGCCCCAAAACATCTCACTAACAATTAGAATATCTGCTGTGTGTGGTGGTCTTTCTATGTAAGGTTGTGATTAGTATACTTTGAGCCAGAATAGTGGTGCATGCCTGTAATCCCAGCACTCAAGAGGCTGAGGCAGGATTGCTTGGAGTTCAAGACCAGCCTGGACTGCATAGTGAGTTCAGGACTGCCTGAACTACATAGTGAGATCTTGTCTCGAAAAAAGAAAAGCAAAGTATTATACTTTGAAAATGGCATGGTGTTTTGACTTTTTGTATTTCCATTTGGCAGTCAAAAATTGCTTGTTAAAAGGCTGGGCGTGGTGGCGCATGCCTGTAATCCCAGCACTCGGGAGGCTGAGGCAGGAGGATCGTTGTGAGTTCAAGGCCAGCCTGGGCTACAAAGTGAGCTCAAGGCCAGTCTGAACTGCATAGCGAGACCCTGTCTCAAAAAGACAAAAAAAAAAAAAAAAATTGCTTGTTAATTACATTGTCAGGCAGCAATAATGTTTGGATTTGTAGGTTTAAGAGCAGGTAGATTGCTCATAAACTAGCTCAGTATAGTGCTTGTCCCTGGATCTTTATTTGACATGGGTTACAAATGAATTTAACACTTACACTTTTTCTTTCTTTTTTTTTCCAGTGCTAGGGATCAAGCCCAAGGGCTTAATACCTGCCTCTAATAGAGGCAAGCACTCTAGGATGGAACTACATCCTTAACCCTGCTTAGAGATTTATAAACCAGACTCCTAGTAGTTCTGTTCTAATAAAATTACTCAGATTTCAGTATTACAGAAGTTAGATTGCTACATGTGGAAGCTGGGTCTATAAATTAACTTTTAATTATTGGATATCATTCCAGTGTATTAAGTAGATCTAATCAAAACTAGTTTCAAATGCTTACTTGAACTCAATAAACCAGAAAAGAATTGGAGACTCTTTAAAACTGGTCTTTATCTGTAGCGGTGGAATCTTCACTGGATCTCAGCCTTAAAATTTATGATTGCTTACGAGACTTACCTAGAAGATTGAATCAACACTGTTGATTGCAGTGTAATTTCTTATATATTTGTTCATTTGCTTTTGCACAGTGCCTGACTTAGACTTTAAAACAGATACAGTAATTGTTAGATGAGTGTATGAAGTGCTGTTATGCATTTGGAAGTTAACACTGTTTCCACTCCTAGCAAAGATGCCTTGGGGCCAAACAGATATGACTATGTGCAGTATTCTTTATCTTTGTCTGCATTTTATAGATGAAATGCTTATTGGTTGCACTGGGTCCTGTATTAGAATCTGCTGCAGCTCTTACTGTCTTAGCAAAGAAGGTTTCTGAATGAGAAATAAATCATCTTTTTTCCCTCTCCGTAGCCCCTGGCGAATTGTAGATGACTGCGGTGGGGCCTTTACGATGGGCACCATAGGTGGTGGGATCTTTCAAGCTATCAAAGGTTTTCGAAATTCTCCAGTGGTAAGTAGGTGGTTGGTTTTATTTTATCATCGCTTGAAACTGGGGTTTGGTAATATTTCTGGTGGCTCCATCAGGGGGCTAGAAATGTATTACATGGTTATTTTATTAAAGTTTGAGTTGCTCTTTTGTAACAGGGAGTAAGCCACAGACTACGAGGGAGTTTGACAGCTATTAAAACCAGGGCTCCACAGTTGGGAGGTAAGTAGAATTGTTCCATTTGTGCTCCAGTTTGTTAAAGATAAAACTCTTCTTATTCTCTTTTTAAAAGACTATATATCAGTTAGTGATTTTAGTTTGATCTAACAGCTTGTTAAAACCAATAGCTCTGTAGGTTTTTCTTGATTTATGGCTTGTTTAGGAGGTTGACTTGAGTTAGTATACCCATTTGAAAATCTTGTCTCTAGCCGGGTGTGGTGGCACATGCCTGTAATCCCAGCACTGGGGAGGCTGAGGCAGGAGGATCATTGTGAGTTAGAGACCAGCCTGGGCTACAAAGTGAGCTCAAGGCCAGCCTGAACTGTGTAGTGAGACCCTGTCTCAAAAAGACAAAAAAAAAAAGAAAGAAAGAAAATCTTGTCTCTGTCCAGCAGATGTTCACAGGTTTTTGTTTTTTTTTTCCCTTCTTCAGAAGGAAGACAGGGTGCTTAAAGCTTAGGTTTAGGGTCAGGAATGATAGCATCTGGGGCAAATAAAGCGAAAGAGAACGAGACCTGAAGGGTTGGGGTTTCATAAGAAAGAAACTGAGCTGCTGGGCTTTTTTCCGAGGTGTGCTTTTAGACATTGTACAGAGATTAGTGCAAGCTTTTAAAAGATTATGTGCATTGCATTATAAAACTTGGGTTTTCAGAAGTTGGAAAAAGGGAGATGACAAAAAATGCGTAAGTTACATTCATGTACAATGATGCAGTCAAATTGGAGATACCTGACTTTTTCGTAAGACACGACTACTTGGCATTCCTTCAAAATGAAAAGTTTAGGGCTGGGAATGTAGCTCAGTGGTAGAATACTCGCCTAGCATGTCTGAGGTCTGAGTTCAATCCCCAGCACCAGGGAAGAGGCGGTAATAGAGAGAGGGAGGGAGGGAGGAATATATGTACTCAGCAAGGTAATTCTGATACAGCTGGACAGCATCCCTCTCTCCTGGGACAGAGCGTTGCTGTGTAACTTTTTAAAAATATAGTTTGAGATACCTGATGATGCACCAAAAATGAGGGGCTGTACGCTATGGTAGCTGAGGCTACCCGCTAAAGGTAGGTCATGTCTGCTACTTTTAATTAGTAACGTGAACACGGGAAGAAGGGCCTGGAGGTTCTGGTTGAGACATTTGGTGGGACCTGGCTTATCGCTTTTGTAACAGACCTCGTTACTCACTGTCCTGAGCTGTCAGAGGAGAAAGAATGAAGTGATTGGGGCTCCTTTCTGCAGTTTTTCTTCTTTCCTTGACTTTTAAATATAATAACTTTTTATGTCGTGTAAGACTTGGGTATTCATTTTAGAATTGGAAAACGTAGAAAAACACACCTAATCTGTTTTGTTACCCAGAAATGCTGACTGTGAAAGTCTTACGTCTTTACTAGATTTTGTTTGTTTTTGTGTATGTGTGTTTCTTTGTTTATTTTACAGAATTGTTTTCATGTTTAGGTGGAGTTTAAGTACATAGTAAATAACCTGCTGGCTTAAAGTTGTTTTTAGATTTATACTTGAGGAATAAAGACAGAAAGGAGGAGTATTTTCCATAGTTCTGTTCATACCATTCATTTGCCACTTTGTTTTTGTGTTGGCTTATACCTGTAATATATTCCAGAATAGCTGAATTCCTTTATTTTTCTGTTAGTGATTTTCATAAAGTAGGTTCTTTTTGTTATTTGATGAATAAAGGAAAAAATAAAGATACGTAAAGTTATAAAAGGAAGAGGAAGCAGAATGATTTGATTTTTTAATTATTGCTGTAATTTAAACATGTTGTGTCAAGCTGGGCGTGGTGGCACACACCTGTAATCCCTGCACTTGGGAGGGAGGCTGAGGTAGGAGGATCCTTGCGAGTTCGAGGTCAGCCTGGGCTTCAAAGTGAGCTAAAGGCCAGCCTGAACTGCATAGCAAGACCCTGTCTCAAAAAAGACAAAAAAGAAAAGAATTAAGTATGTGATGAAATTTAAATTAATCTTTGTTTATTTTTAAAATAAAACAGGTAGCTTTGCCATTTGGGGAGGGCTGTTCTCCATGATTGACTGTAGTATGGTTCAAGTCAGAGGCAAAGAAGACCCCTGGAATTCCATCACTAGCGGTGCCTTAACAGGGGCCATCCTGGCAGCAAGAAGTAAGCCTCCTCGTAGACACATTTGCGGGAGCCAGACTGTTGGGAAGACCACAGATGTCTTAATTCTGCTGAAATCTGTAATATAATAAGACTGAGCATTGCTTGGTTTGGGATAGCATGAGTATATGTGGTAGGTTGGAAAAAATTAAGGAGGTTGCTTATTTGGAACGTTTGAGAATGAGAGAGCTTGGAGTCCTATCCCACGTATACAGTGGTTAGGAGCACTTCTAGTGGCCTAGTTTTGGCCATTTATTAGCTGTGTGACTGGGAAGTATGCCAGACTTTATATGCTTAGTTTCATCAGTATTCTAGAATTAATAATACCTTCCGCATAGGATTATTAGGAATAAAGAGTTTAAACCTGACTTCTAAATCTTTGGAACAGGCAGCAAACCAGAATTCCTTTGAACTTAGTTGTTTAGACCAATGGTTTGTAAACTTCTCTGCAAAAGGCCATATAGTAAATTTTTTAGGCTTCCTGGACTGTGTGATCTTTGTTGCAGTAGACTAGCTGTGCTGTCACAATGGGAGAATATCCACAGAAAGTCATAATTAAAAGAACATGGCTATATTCTCTTACAACTTTATTTTATTGATTGATTGATACCAGGAATTGAACTCAAGACCTTGCACTTGCCAGGCAGGCTCTTGTGCCACTGACCTATATCCCCAGCCCTACATCTTTATTTTAAAAAACGGGCAGTAGGCGGGATTTGATCTGTGGGCTGTGGTTTACTGACTGTGGGTTTGGACAGTAGGAAAGTGTTTGGGGGTGAGAGGAGCATGTATAATGTAGAAGCCCTTTCCTTCACAGTAACCTCTTTGTTACTGATGTCTTCAGATGGACCAGTGGCCATGGTTGGGTCAGCTGCCATGGGTGGCATTCTCCTAGCTTTAATCGAAGGAGCTGGTATCTTGTTGACAAGATTCGCCTCTTCGCAGTTTCCCAATGGTGAGTCTTCTCTCTGCTTAATACTGTAGCTCAGATACTTTGGAATGGTTTTCTGATGGTAATAAAAACATTTTGTCTGCTGAAATGGTGGAGTTTGCAATTTCTAGGTTAGGCATGAACAAGCTATGTAGTTCATGAAGATGGTGATAATAGGTTCGGATTCTAGTCCGAAAAGTGAACATGGGTGAAATTACTGTGTTTAGCCACAATGACAGAAATATTTGCGTACTTAATTTGCTGTTGGACTTTCTTTATAGATCTCAGGTGTTTTCAGTGCTCACTTGCTTTTTCTAAAAACTTTTCTGTTGTTTTAGCTTTTGTTTTTCGGAGACAGAGCTTCTTTATAGTTCAGGCTAGCCTAGAACTTTCTCTGTATGCCAGGCTGGCTTCAAACTCACGGTCCCCTGTCTAAGCCACATGAGTGCTGGGATTGAAGGTGTGTGCCCCATACCTGGCTCTGGTCATGTAAGGATGTCTGAAGGGTGGTTACACAGAGGTGTACTAACAGTGGTTGATCACCAGTTTCTTGTAGTATCTGTATGTGCTGGACACTGTTCTAGGTGCTGGGGATACTAGTGAATAAGACAGTCCCTGCCTTCAAGGACTTGAGATTCTGGTGGGATAAAACCAGACTAACACATTGGCAGATCAGTGAGATGATTTCAAATAGTGTTGCTTGCTTTAAAGAAAATAAAATAGAGTGGAAGGAAGTGACTCATGTTCAGGAGGAGGATCACTTTAGGTTTTACAGGAAGGTCTCTGAGAGTTCGGTAATTTGTTGCTAATTATTCCTCTTATCGATGCCCACGGGAAAAGTAAAATCATTGACTGGATGGTCATTACACAGTCATGTAATATCTGCCTGTTGGGCTTAAACCACGCGTGGGGGTGCATGTCTGTAATACCAGCACTTACAAGGCTGAGGCTGGAGATTGCCACAAGTTTGAGGCCAGTCTAGGCTACCTAGTGAGACCCTGAAACTTGTACAGTTGTAACTATCAAAAATTTCATTGTTTAAATGAAAATATTCCTTGAATAGTGGAGGAGGCAGAAAGATATGATAGTTACAGTAGTAAAAACTTGAGCTGGCCTTGGGCAGGGAAACAGGCAGAACAGTGAGACAGGTTGAAAATTATTTGTGGGCCTGGAACAGATTCAGCATACAGTTAGGAATAAATCAGGCCTCCTACTTTGCTATGATTGCCCTGAGCATGTAGGAGAGACTCACTTGTTACCTCTGAGTTTAGCACTCTGATAGTGACTTTCTAACTTCGCTTTTTAGTTTGTTCTGATTGTCTTAGTATGCAGGGCTTCACATGGAGCCAGGTATGGTTGCGCACATCTGTGATCCTAGCACTCTGGGAGGCTGAGGCAGGATCATAATGCTGAACACAGCTTGGGCAGCTTAGTGACTTAGCACAACCCTTTCTCAAGATAAAAAAATTTTTAAAGGGCTAAAATATTGCTCACCATAAAGGCCCTGGGTTCAATCTTCAGTACCACCAAGAAAAAGAAAAAAGACTTCACGTGAAGCATCAGAAGATTTCCATGTTCTCAGAAGTGAACGCACAAAGACTTAATTATATTGTCTTTTGGAAATTAGCTCTGGGTACTTCGGATTAAGCATTTTTCCTCAGAGGGAATGTCCCTTTTATTAATCAAAACTCACTGTTCATACAGAAGCAACCTAAAAGTAGGCTTGTTTTAGACAAGAGATGTGGCTTTTTCAAAAAGCCGTCTAGGAGGACATCTTTGAAAAGTTAATCATATTTTTCCAGTTAACTTACACAAAAAAGTTCTTAAAGCAATGATAAAAGATTAGCTAAAACTGTAGTGACATGGTAACAATGGTTACCTTTTGTTTATCTTTTTCACTCGTTGCTTTCACTTTTTCTATAGTGAGCAGATAATTGCTTTTGTAGTGAAGTAAGAGTGTGTATCAGTGGAGTGATATATTTTGGAAAGTTTTAGGGAATTTTAACTCTTTTGTTCCTTTGTGGGTTTTTTTGAGACAAGATTTGCTGTATAGGGCTGGGCTTAAACTTACTGTGTAGCCCAGGCTGGCCACAGAATGGCAGCAGTCCTCCTGTCTCATCCTCCCTATTGCTGGGATTATAGGTGTATGCCATCTTTAACTCTTCTTTCCAGATATTTTCTTGTCTGCTTCAATTTCCCTAAAGAAAAAAGTGATTGATTATTTCTCTAAATGTCTTTTAAAAGCCACCCTGTCCTCCCCAGGCCCTCTAATCTTTTCGGAAGGTGGTGTTTTAAGACAGGGTCTCTGTATGTAACCCAGGCTGGCCTTGAACTCATGGCAATCCTTGTGCCTCAGCCTCGCAAATCCTCTAATTTTTGAAAACTAAACTATAAGAGTTTATTTGTTCTGTGGCAGCCTAGGCTCAATTTTCCTATTTCAGAGCTCATTCCCTACCTAACTAGTTCTATAAATTGGATTTTACTGCATTCTTTTAAAATATGGCTAAGGAGGCCAGGCTTAGTAGAGTATATTTAGTCCTAGCACTGTGGAGGCTGAGGCAGGGAGATCACCCAGAGTACAAGGCGAGTCTGGAATACTCGCTTTCTTTTTGTTTGTTTGTTTGTTTTTTGTTTTTTTTCTGGTACCGGGAATCAACTCACGATGTTGCGCTTGCCAGTCAGGCACTGTGCCGCTGAGCTAAATCCCCAGTCACCAGTCTGGAATGCTTAGTAAGACCCTGTCTCAAAAATTAGAATAGAGGGCCGGGGATATAGCTCAGTGACACAGTGCCTGCCTGGCAAGCACAAGATCCTGAGTTTGAGTCCCAGTACCAAAAAAAAAAAAACCCAGAAAAGTAAAATATGGCTAAGATACTTAAACTTTATGAAAATACTTTTAAATTGTTACTAAAAAATATGTTAAGAACCAGGAGAGATTCTTCAAATCCTGATGTGTGTCAGCTTGTTATAGCGGTCGCCTTCCCTGGGTATTGCTTTTTGCTCTAATGCATCCACCTGACTTTCCTGGCGCAACATTTGAGAGCTGCCCATTCTGAAACAAGATTGCTTATCATGTTACACCAAGTTTGAAGCTTCTCCAAACCTCTCATGGGGTTTGGGCCCTGAAACATATAAATTCAGATTATAGCTCTAATGTAGCACATACTTTTCAAGTTAATTGATTTACTTTCTATAGAGACTTATCCTTTTTAAATTATATAATACCGGATTCTCTTTATAATCCTTTTTCATTTTAATTGCAGGCCCTCAGTTTGCAGAAGACCCCTCCCAGTTGCCTTCAACTCAGTTACCACCTTCACCTTTTGGAGACTATCGACAGTATCAGTAGGACTTGGCTCCCAGGGCTTCTCCGCAGAATGAGCCGCAGTTGGAAAAGGGTTTCAGAAGATCAAGTGACAGTCTGTTTTTAAAACTGTAGGCGGGACAACTGTGGCCAACTAGGCTATGAAGAGACATTTAGCACTTTTTCTATTTAAAGGAACATGGAGGGGGGAAAGAAGATACTACATTTATTTATTCACACTTGGATTGCATTTGTGATCAAAATAAATGTCTAATATCATTAAAAGAAAGTACAATAAGTGCTTAGAAGATGAAGGACCAAAAGGCTAATTACAGTGAAACATGACCGCTCCCTTGGGCGCTTCTCTGCCTGGTTTTGTGTGTGCTGTTATTCGAACAATAAAAGCTCCTGGAACTTACTTTTCTGTTAAGATAAGTTGTAGAATTCTGCTTTTCGTACTGAGCATGCGTCACGTAATGCATGTTTCATACTGGTCCCTAATCTCGAATTATGTAGAAGAATGGTGCAGAGTCAGCGCAGATCATTTCGCAGTGACATGCTGAATGGATTAAGGACATAGTGAAATACTTGTCATTTACTTTGAAAGTAAAATACAGGGTATGCTGTCTTGGTTTTGAGGATGCTGGATGCAAAACAGTTACCTTTCGGGCCACTGTGTCTTGATTCCTGGTCATGAAAAACCTCACCAGAAACAGTTTGGTTCCAATATACTCTATTCTACATGAGGAGGATTCATGCAGGGAAAAGTTTAGGGCTCATTGTGTGCTTGCAAATAAAATATATGTTGTTTTTAATGTGTTCCAAGTCCTTTAATTTGACCCTGAGATGTGTGTTGGGAGGGTCTGGTTGGCCCTGGAAATTGTACTAGCATTTTGGAATAGGCTGTTTTCCTGATTGTAGTGGAAGTGACCTGTGGCCTTTAGAAAGAATGATGTTATTAATTCCCCATTTGCCTATGCTGGTATCTATATGAGATGAAGAACAAATCCCTATGGGCTCTGTAAACACATTTATCTTTTAGCACAGTGCCATATGCTAGTAAGCACTTAATTACTAATTGTGGTTTGAGAATGAGCATTTTTATTGTGATGAAATGTACATAAAATAATCATAAGCACTTACAAGTGTATCCCTCAGTGGTATTTGAGTGCAGGCTCAGTGTTGTTTAACTATCACTATTTTTAAACTCGCCTATAATCCCAGCACTCTTGGGAGGCTGAGGCAGGAGGATCATTGCAAGTTTGAGGCCAGCTTGGGCTACAAAGTGAGTTCTAAGACCAGCCTGAACTGCATGGTGAGACCCTGTCTCAAAACGACAAAAAGAAAAGAAAACCTATTATTAAACAGTAACTCCCCTTCGCCCCTCCTTCCAGCCCCTGCAAGCCATGATCCTGCAGTCTGAATTTGCCTGTTCTAAGTATCTCATATAGGTGAAATTATACAATATTTGTCCTTTGATTGTTTTAATTCACTTAGCATGTTTCAAGGTCCATTCCCTTTGTAGCTTATATCAAATTTCATTTTAATGACAATATCCCATCGTATCCATGTACCACATACTGTTTATTGATTCATTTGTTTTGGTCGCAAGCTTTTTCCATCTTTTGGTTATGGTGAATTACGCTACTGTGAACATTGGTATACAGATGTCTGAGTCTGATCTTACAGTTCTTTTGGCTATACAGCTAGCATGGTTAGCTTTAACAGACTGCCGAACTGCTTTCCGCAGTGACTGCACCATGCTAGATCCCAGGGGCAGTGCAGTAGGGTTCCAGTTTCTCCACATCCTTGCCAACACTTGTTGGTTTCCTTTTTATTTTTAATTTTTTTTAGTGCTGGGAATCAAACTGAGAGCTGCTTTCTGGGCAAGCGCTGTACCACTGAGTGACACTCTCAGCCCCTCCTTTTTTGTTAATGTTTAAACTTTGACATCCTAGCATATGTGAAATGGTGCCTTATGGTTTTGAATTGCATTTCCCTGAAGATACTAAGCTTTTATGTGCTCGTGGGCCATTTGTATGTGTATCACTTGTGTATCTTTGGAGAATCTTCAGCTCTTCAACTTGTATTTCAGAAAAGCAATTTAAGCATAACATGTTAAATTGCAGAGAAAATGTTTTGAGGTCTACATTCCTTATTTTTTAAATGGTGTATCAGTTTGGGAAGTAAATCCCTTTCCTCTGAATTCTGATTTTTTTAAAAAAACATTTTATTGGTTCACTTCTGTCTGCAGCTCAGCATGTCTGAGGCAATTCTTGCTTACATATGAATTTTCTGGAATTAGGGATGGGGGTGCAGGAGAGCAAGGTGGGAAAAGGTGGAAAGAGCTTGGGAAGAACTTTACAATGTTCTACCATGAGTAGGACCCTTGGTGGAAACCCCTATAAAACCTTTTCTGCTTACATGTCCAGGCTTTCCGCCTCTTCACTTACAAATGGGCTCTCCTCTACCCTGCCTGTTGGCCAGAGAGATACTGCTCTGTGACTTTTTTTTTTTCTTTTTCTTTTGCCTTTTTTGAGGCACAACAATCCTCCTGAGTGCTGGGATCACAGGTGTGCGCCACCACACCCGGCCTGTGACTCTATTTTAACGTTCCATGGAGAGGAAGCTGGGTGGTTTAGATTCTGTTTTTAAAACTGATATGAAATGTTTAGTAAATATTCTAAATCTAAATTTTGTACACTAAAGTAAAGCCCAGGATAAAAGGTAAAACATTAAAGTCATTTTAATTATGAAAATAACGCCAGGCATGATGGCGCACACTTGTAATCTGTCGTGAGTTCGAGACCAGCCTGGACTACAAAGTGAGCTCAAGGCCAGCCTGAACTGCATAGTGAGACCCTGCCTCAAAAAGACCACAAAAAAAAAGAAAAAGAAAAAAAAAAAAGAAAAGAAAAAAGAATGAAAAAAGAACAAGCAGCAGATGGGAAGGCAGTTTTCCCTAGGTCTTCCTGGAATAGTGGAGTCGGCCTAATTTCACACTTGAAATGCCCACCAGATCCCATCTGTTTTTCCCTTTTTCCTAGTATTTGACGCTGGGATTGGCATGGAATAGTGAATTTCTGAGTCAGAGTTTGGAAGATGTGGGTACGGCAGCCGCGCTAATGCAAGTGCATCTGTTTGCACTTGTGAACCAGCGGCACGTCATGGAAGTGGGGCCCCAGCTCCACCCTGTGGTGTGTTAGTCCTAGTTAAACTGTGAATTCTAGGTAGTCTGTTATATCGTGGGTCAGTGTCTTAGTTACTTTCCTTGCTGCAACATAATACCTGACACCTACAAGTTAAAGGAGAAAAGGTTTATTTAGCTCACACTCTGTAGAGGTTTCAGTCCATAACCGGCTGGCTCCAAGGCAGGGTGGCTTGGCAGAGGGGCATCACAGAGAACAGTTCATGGCAGGCAGAAGACACCAAACCAAGCAAGCAAGGAAGAAGACAAGCCTCTTTCTGTCTTACGTTGTATCCAGGGTGCTGGGTTATTGTGATGCCAAGTCGATCAGTGCACTGATGTGGTAATCACATACCCTTAATCCCAGCATCGTGCACACTAGATTCAGCCACTTCTGAAAAAGCATGAGGCTTGGGGGGAACATCTAGACCAAAATCGTAAGGGCATACTATTACCAGCTTGTTTTTGCAAAAAAGTTTGAACACAACCACCCCATTCTTACACATACTGTACTGTCTGGCTGCTTTCTTACCTCCGTGGCAGAGCTGACCAATCTGGACAGAGACTCCCTCAAAACCAACATAGGAGAAGCAGGCTTCAATCTTAGTAGATGAAGAAATTGAATTTCTGGATGACAGGAACCACATTTCATACTTGACAAATGTTAAGTGAATGAATAAATTGTAAGCAAGTGTGTCTATCCACTTCAGAAAGTGCATGCCTGTAATCTCGGGACTTGGGAGGCTGAGGCAGGAAGATTGCCACGAATTCAAGGCCAGCCTGGACTACATAGTGCGTTCAAGGCCAGCCTGAAGTACACAATGAGACTTGCCTCAAAAAACAACAACAAAAAAGTATTATGAGATATTTTGGACATATGAATGTAATAAAAATATATTAAATATCCCTCCACACAGTATAAAAAAATTAATATTACTCACAGAGTTAAAGTTACTTATGCATAGCTCCATGAGTTTACTCACCTATATCCCACAAGAGTTAACTATTACCCCAAATTTGGTGTTTCATAATCTAATACCAGATCCTAAAATATACCATTGTGTCTGGCTGTACTGTAGCCTCACCAATACTTGGTACTAACAATTCTTGCTTTTGTTGTTTAATTTTAGCAATTCTCATGGGTATATAATTGTTTCTCCTTATGGGTTTGTTGTTTTTTGGTTTTTTTTGAGACAGGGTCTCGCTATGTAGTCCAAACTGGCCTTGAACTCAAGTGAATCCTTCTACCTCAGCCTCCTGAATGTTGGGATTATAGGCATGTGTCACCACACCTGGCTCTCCTTATGGTGTTTTGATTTGTTTTGTTTTTGAGACAAGGTCTCACTGTGCAGTTCAGGCTGGACTTGAGCTCAATCTGTAGCCCAAATTGGTCTCAAACTCACAAGGATCTTCCTGCCTCAGCCTCCCTCCAAAGTGCTGGGATTACAGGTGTGTGCTACCACACCCAGCTCTCCTTACAGTTTTAATTTGGAAGTGTATGCTTAAAATTTTCATCTACTTTACTGACTTTGTTTGGTTTTGAGAGTTCGTTATGTACTGTGGATACAAATCTTTTGTAAGGTGTGTGATTTGCAAATATTTTTTGCACCTTTGTTAACCAGTGTATTTCTGGGTGTGGTAGTGCACATCTGTAATCCCAGCACTCAGGAGGCTGAGGCAGGAGGATCACTGTGAATTTGAGGCCAACCTGGGCTACAAAGTGATTTCAAGGCCAGCCCAAAACCAGTGTATTTCTGGTTTTACAGAAATATACTTCCATTGCTATGTCTCTAGTATCTATATCTAGTGTGCTAGTATCACATTATAGCTTTATAATAAGTTTTGAAATTGGGTAGTATGAGTCATTTTTTTTTGTTTTGTTTTGTTTTGTTTTGTTGGTCTTTTTGAGACAGGGTTTCACTATGCAGTTCAGGCTAGACTTGAACTCACTTTATAGTCCAGGCCTTCAACTTGCATCGATCCTTCTGCTTCAGCCTCCTGAGTGCTGCAATTATAGGCATGCACCACCATGCTCGGCCTCAATTTTGTTCTTTTTCAGATTTGTTTTAGCGATTCTAATTCCTTCACCTATCTCTATGAATTTTACAATAAGCTTGTTGATATCTACAACAAAGCCTGCTGGGGTTTTATTGGGATTGAGTTTTATCCATGTTTTGTAATTTGAACACATAGGTCAGTGGTGGTGAACATATGGCACCCGTGCTGTAGCAAGCTGTTTGTTATCATTGAAAGCTCTAAAAGGTTCGCCATCACTAATACAGATCCTGCATATAGTTAGGCCTAGAGATTTCATTTTGGGGCATACTGCTGTAAACAGTATTATTTTAAAATTTCAGACTCCATTGTTCAGTGCTAAATGGAAAAAGTGTGTGTGTGTGTGTGTGTGTGTGTGTGTGTGTGTGTGTGTATGTGTTTGCTAGGGACCAAACCTTCAACCTTACACATGCTAGGCATGTACTCTATATACCCAGAGCAATTCACTTTTAGGTATTTATTTCCAGTAGATTTTAGGTATTTATTTCCAGTAGATATATCTTTTTTTTTCTTTTTCTTGCCTTATTGCACTGGACTCCCAGCATATTATTGAATAGAGTAGTAAAAGAGAGC